CAGGGCGGTGCTGGTCATGGACAGGCCAGCAGTTATGCTGTTGTAACACAACACAATGATAACGGAGGATACGGATCTGAATATGATGGCGAATATAGCCATGGAGTCGAAGATTACGGTAAAACTGACGGCCATTCTGGCAATGGTGATGGTGACCGCTCGGCAGACTACTACAGCCATCCTCAATATGAATTCGCCTATGGTGTTGAGGACTCGAAAACCGGTGACATTAAGGAACAATGGGAATCCCGAGATGGCGATAAAGTACAAGGTAGCATTTGAAAATCTATTTGGGTGTATGATTTACTTAATGTCGGATTTTTATTTGCAGGAAGCTATTCCCTTAAAGAATCCGATGGAACAACTCGTATTGTACAATACACCTCTGATAAGAAGACTGGCTTCGAGGCCACCGTCCATAAAATTGGTCAAGCCAACAATGATAATGGTGGAGCTGACCATTATGTCCATGATGGTTACTAGATGATAACAGCCCTAATGTGCTATCATCAATCTATGAAGAAGACATAAATAATTGTAAATTTCCCCCAAAATATTAATAAACAACATCTATATATGTAGAACAGGTGGTTTCATATGAATGACAAAAATGTGAAAATAACTATTTTCACACAAAAAAGTATAGAAGCAGCTATGTTCCGGGCCGGACCGAACCCTTAGTACCCTCCACCATTTGGAAGGAACTTGAAAAATTAAAAAAAAATCGAAAACGACCACTTTAATAAAAACCTTTATGTTGGGAATAGACCCAACCCCATAGACGATGATATCGATATGGACCTTATCGATATCGATAATTAAAACTATCGATGAGGTCACATCGTTAAGGATTTTTGGTTGGCACTCTTCTTCTTGAAGTTTAGAAATGTGGATCGCCAGATCAAAATTGTGAATTTTTTATAAATAAAAAAATTGACCGACTGAGTCATTTTTAACTTTGAAATAATACTTATTAAAGTGCTTTTTCTTTTGTGCAGACAACAAACGTAAGTATCGCCAGAATACTTTTGTGTTTGTTTGTAGTTTGTTAAATAATATTGTTGTTCGTCTTTGTGCAACAATAAATTCCGGCTTAAAATCTACTCAGTAGAATTTGAACCACAACAAGTCTATACGACGGTATTGGAAATTGTACACTTTATATGGGACTATACCAAGACGTTGACCTGCATACGAATTTTTTTGCCATAGGCTGTAGTACCCATTACGAACTTCAAATACGAAATTTCAAATAATTCCGGTAAATAACGCCGCTAAAATCATGAAAATACCGAAAATATAGGAGGTACCGTTATATGGGGGCTATACGAAGACGTGGACCTGCATACAAAAACTTTTTTCGTAGGCTGTAGTACCCACTATGAACTACAGATGCTAAATTTTAAACGATTCCGATGAATAATATTGCTGAAATCATCCAAATACTGAATATCGGGAGGTACCCTTATATGGGGGCTATACGAAAATGTGGACCGACATTACTCATTTACGAACTTAACTTGCCAACTCGAATATTAGGCATGTATGCAAAATTTAAGCCTTCTATCTCAATTCGATCGAAAGTTAGCTGGATTACAACAGACGGACAGACGAATAGGCGGACCGTGCTAGATTGTCTTACAATTTTACGCTGATCCGGAATATATATATATATATATATATATTTTGTGGGGTCTATTATGAATATTTCGAGGAGTTACAAACGAAAAAACAAAGTTATATGGTTACGAACACTTATTTAAAAAATAAACTTCTTGTCAGCTTAAGGTCAGTCTCCACATCGTGTTAGAGTTTTATAATTTTTTGGCACTTCAGGTTATTGTCCTATCCCAAACTAAAATGTTAGATTTTAGCTAAATCGATTGAAAACATACAGTAAAACCCCTTGAAAGGAGTAAAATCGAGGGTAGAATTATATAGGAGATATATCAAATTGTCGACCCACATTAACATTACTTTGCTAGGATATTCAGAACAGCAGATGTTAAATTTCTGCTCATTTCTATTAAAAATGTATCTAAAAGCATCAACATTTCACTAAAACGGAGGGTTACGTTATATGGCTACTGTGCCTAAACGTGGACCAATCTTCACAATTTTATGGTTACATTATTTTTTACTCATTATGAAGCCATTCTGTATAATGTAGCCAAAAATTAGAACTTCAGGCTGTAGGTTGCGTTTTTTCCCGATATTCCCAAGTGTTCCCTTTTGTACCCTCAGCCATATGGCTACAGAGGATACATACCATTTGGTACGGGCAATATGTGCCTCATCGAAATAACGGCTTTAGACCCTACGTCTCTTTGGACAAAATTCGTTTCAGGACAATTGTACGGGTGTTCGTCCATCCATCTATCTGTCTCACGATAACTCTCGAAGAGAGTATCCGATTTGGTCCACCACTTCTGTTACCTCTCCCACAAAAGGTCAAAATTTTCAAAGGAAATAATTTACCCCAGGAAAAGAGAAAGAATAATTCGATTGTATGTAAACTTTACAAATCCTAATATATTTGTCCTTGCAATGACAATCTGATATTGTCATATGATAAAGAACCTCCTCTAAAAGGGTCATTATTTTAAATAATTATAACTCTTATAAAATGTGAAATAAACATCCGATTCTTTTTAATTTCACACATCCCAATATTTTCACACATATAATATATCGGTCTAATCTTTCAGGTGCCATCTTCACAAAAGTGAGGACCCACAAAGAGTCACATTATACCCCCCATTCATAGTATGAAGGGTATATTATGTTTGTCATTCCATTTGTAACTCATCGAAATAATAATTCTTGCCCACTCCGTCCTTCCGTCTCTCCGCTTGTTGTAATCACGGTACAGTCAAAACGAATTAAGATAGAAAGATACAATTTTGCACAGATCTGACTATTGTCTGCAGGCAGGTCAAGTTCGAAGATGGGTTATATCGGTCCACGATATCTTATAGCCCCTATATAACAGTACCCCATTTTCGGTATTTTGATGATTTTATCAACATTTTTCAATTAAATTATCTGAAATTCTATACAAGGAGTTCTTTGTAAGCACTTTAAGCCCTGAAAGATAATTGTCTATACAGGTCCACAATATCGTATAGCCCCCTTGTAACGGTACCACCCGATATTCGGTATTTTGATGATTTTAGCCACATTTTTCAATGGAATGAGCTGAAATTCTACACAAGGAGTTCTTTGTGAGTACTTTATACTCTGTAAGGGAATTGCCTATATGGGTCCACGATATCGTATATCCCCCGTATAACAGTACCTCCTGATACTCGGTATTTTGATGATTTGAGTCAAAATTTTCAATGGATTTGTCTGAAATTCAACACAAGGATTTTTCTGTGAGCATTTTACCCCCTGAAAAAGAATTGTCTATATAGACCCACAATATCGTATATTCCCCATATAACGGCACCTTCCGATATTCAGTATTTTGATGATTTTAACTACATTTTTCAATGGAATTGTCTAAAAATTCTACGCCAGGAGTTGCTTCTGAGTACTTCACATCCTGGAAGAGAATTGTGTATAACGGTCCACGATATCGTATATCCCCCATTTAACGGTATCCCCCGATATTCGGTATTTTGATGATTTTAGTCACATTTTTCAATGGAATTGTCTAAAAATCCACACAAGGAGTTCCTTATGAGTACTTTATCCCCTGGAAGGGAATTATTTATATAGGTCCACGATATCGTTTAGTACCCATATAACGGTACCCCCGATATTCAGTATTGTGATGCTTTTAGCCACATTTTTCGAAAGAATTGTCTAAAATTCTACACAAGGATTTATCTGTGAGCACTTCACGCCCTGAAAGAGAATTTTCTATATAGGTCCACGATATTGTGTATTCCCCATATAACGGCACCTTCCTATATACAGTATTTTTGATGATTTTAGCCACACATTTCAATGACATAGTCTAAAAATGCACACAAGGAGTTCCTTTATTTCATTATAAGTTGAAGCCAGATTTTACAGTAACTAGTTTCAATGGGATTAATGGCAGGGTTCCCTTTTTTAATTGTTTTATTAATTTAAATTTACATTAATTTACATTTTATTATTATTATATTCAATAATATTCATTATTTTCATTACCTAGTATTTGTATAAGGTTAGATTGCATTTATAGGCGATTGCATTTCTTTCCGATTCCTTAAGTCTGAAGTATTCCCCCATTGACTTAACTTCATAATACTCTCAATTACAGAGAGCAATGTTTTTCAAAACGTGAACGAATTTAAAGTGGGATTTTTCAAAAAATACCGATAGCCGCATGACCTAAATGCCCCCTAAATAAAAAAACAAATAACACATAGCCAATCACTTAAGAATCGTAAACGAATTTTATGTCAAACATCTGAACTGATAACCGAACTATGAGTCCAATGATATAAATCAACGAATTCAGAGCATTTTTCAAATTTTCGAATAACAAGTGTCCAGTGTCGAATAATGGAACGTATAGGTAAGACGATATTTTGTGACAAAATTTTAGAACAATAAAGGAGGAAAGAAAAAATTGTTGTTGAAATTTAACAATACTTCAGAATTCCCATAGAGTTACCAATTTTGCTAATTAAGAGCAAAAAAAAAAACAAAATTGTATCACATAATTTATTCAGCCATTTTGGTGCCAGAAATGATAATGAATCACCCAAAATTTCAATACCAACTTATTATACCCCACAATTATAAGTTTGATTCGACCAACGCGAAACATTTTTCCCAGAGATAGGAAAATATATTTGGATTTTTCTATCTCGATAAGCTGAGTCGTTCTGGTAGTATGTCCGCCCGTCTGACCGTCTGTACATATAAAATTGAAACCAGGCTACAGCTCGCAATTATGATGCGATACTTACGAAATTTGGCATGGAAGTGGGGTTAAGGTCAGAATAGAAGTCTATTGTGTTGGAAGATTACTTTGGGTTTCAAATGGACCAAAAACCAAAAACCAAAAACTTGTTTAGATTTTCCATTCGCCCTACAGTTCTCAACTAAGTACCAATATACATGGAATTGTTTATTAGGTCAGAGTTTATGATACGCTGAGGCCTAGGTCATTTTGGATGGTCATTGGATAATATTTCGGTGGTGAGTAGACCAAAATTTTGAGTGAAAAAGTACCGAAATTACAAAATACATGAATGTAAAATTACTGTTCTTTTAAGATCGTTTGTGTTTGGAATAAACTTGTTTCAGATCTATGATGATGATTATTCGAAAAGAGGAGCAATTCGGTTCAACGATTGATTTTATTAGGTAACAGATATGTGGATTTTTCTCAAGGGGAATCATCAATCTAGTCAAAAGGGTTTCAGATCTGCAGAAACTTTACCGGAAATTGTGGTGTTGTAGGATATCAACTGGTCGGCCCGCCCGTCTAAAGCCTCTTTTTATTTGTTTTTAATTTCAGGATATTTAGGAATACTTTTTAGCATTTTCTTGGCATGTCTACAGGGGACAACAGCAACTCCTCCAGATACACAGAACTTTCATTCCAGCTTGTCGAACTTTAGCAGAAATATTTTCACGGAAATATTTCAAACTAACAGCGAGGACAATATTATATTTTCACCATTTTCTATTCAGACATGTTTGGCCATGGTACGTATGGGGGCGGATGGTGCCACTGCGGCCGAAATGGATTATGGTCTCACTTTTACGAGCCAATCAGAGGAAAATATTAGCGCGAATTATCAGGAACTCTTAACAAAATTTGAGGATGGAAAAATCTTGAAAATTGCCAACAAAATTTATGTGGCCAATAAATATAGTCTGAAAAATACTTACCATGAAATACTGGGTGAAAAATTCTTTTCCTCTGTGGAAAATGTGGACTTCACTCAAAGTGAAAAAACTGCCGAATTGGTGAATTCTTGGATTGAATCCAAAACCGATAATGCCATACACCACATTATCAGCCCTGACACTCTAACCAACGATACCCGCCTAATGCTTGTCAGTGCCATCTATTTCAAGGGTAATTGGCAAAAACCTTTCGATACGAAGTACACCCGCGAAGCCGATTTCTATATGGCTAATAATAAAACCATGAAGGTGGAAATGATGTTCAGAGCAGGAATGATGTCATGTGATGTTATTCGCGAATTGGATGCAAAGGTCATTCGCCTGCCATATAAAGATTCCGATCTATACATGATGATTATTTTGCCCAACTCTCGAAATGGTTTGAAAGAATTGATGGAGAAATTAAAAACATTTAGCTTGTCATCCCTGACCCTAGAAAGGCTAGGATATTTTGGGACTTTCCTTTATTTGCCGAAATTCAAGGTCGAATTTGAGATTCTCTTAAATGAACCATTGAAAAAGGTAAGTGACATAATCTCATTTAGGGACGTGCACAGAAATGCACTGCGAAACAATTTTGCATGTCCAACTAGTTAAAACTTATATTACCATATTAGATGTATAAAAAATATCAGAAAAATGGTCATTTCGGGGGACCGATGTCCTATTCAATTTTATTTTTATTAAATATTTCATTTCTTCTCTCTCCCATTGCAGCTGGGCATGCAGCACATGTTCACTGATGCAAATTTGAGTAAAATGCTAACAGCTAGTGAACCTCCTCAGGTCACAAGTGTCATCCACAAGGCCTTCATTGATGTCAATGAAGTGGGTACCGCCGCCTCTGGTGCCGCAGGTTTGAAATGAGTCTCCATATAAATGAGTGAAATATTATAACATTTATTCTTTTTTTCATTGTAGGAATTCCAGTTATGACTAAAACCAAACCCTTCGATTTCCGAGCTGACCATCCATTTTACTATGTCATAATGAATGGCGATTCGATTCCCCTCTTTCAAGGAACCTTTGTAGGAATATAATCAATTAAAGAATGCATCAATTTCAAACACACATTGTATAATTTCAACTTAAAGGTAGGGTTGTAGAGTTTTTAAATATTACAAAAGTGGTGCATACCATTAAAAAATACCTACATATTTGACTGAAAGTTGTTAAGAAAATAATTTTAATTGAAAATTGAAGATTTTTTTGTCCAGCAACAACTTAAATAATATTCGATTTTTTTGGCAAAATGCTTAAAATATTTTAATAAAATACTTGAGTTTTATCCATGAAGTCCTTGAAAAGCTATATAAAATCCAGAATATATTGCCAGGAAGTTTGCAAGTTTTAGCCATAAAATCCTTAAAAACAAAAATATATGATATATAAAATATATATAAAAGGCTTTAATTTAAAAGGCTCTCGTAATGTACCTAAGAGTCCCAAATTTGCAAAAAATTGAAAAGAGATTAAAAATCCAGGAGGAAGGAATTTCTTGGAAAAATATTGTTAAAAAATACACAAGATTTTGAAAAAAATATTTTTAACAAAAAAATTATATTAAACCAGTAAAGGCAGTCTTAAAGACGGGCGGGGCCGGCTTTATGATACCCTACACCACTTTGCTAATTTAGTAGAGCTGCGCATACCAATTAATTTTTTTTTATGGGAGAATTCAATCATACAAGCTATGATTATAATTATAATTTAAAGTTCAAAGGACTAAATATGCCGAAGCATTTGTATCTTTTAAATTCGGACTTGTATTGTCCATTTGGTGCACAATTAATTTGAAATCGGATAAAGATATATATGGGAGCTATATCCAAATCGGAACCGATCTCGATAAAATTTGGCAAAGATATTTCTCAGCTGTATTTGATATATTTCCCTGAATATCGTTGTTACGGAGTGCATATTACGGCTGTGGGTAACAAATATAACAAATCGGATGAATAATATATATGGAAGCTATAGCTATATCTGAACCGATCTCCACCAAATTTGACATACTAGCTTCTAGACTCAATTCGGTCGTAAGTGCCAAATTCCGTAACATTTGGACAAATATTAGACGTTTGGTGCACAAAGGTAAATCGGACGAAGTTATATATGGGAGATATATCCAAATCTGAACCGATCTCGATAAAATTTAGCAAATGTATTTCTGAGCTGTATTTGATATATTTCCCTGAATATCGTTGTTACGGGGTGCATATTACAGTTGTGGGTAACAAATATAACAAATCGGATGAATAATATATATGGAAGCTATAGCTATATCTGAACCGATCTTCACCAAATTTGACATACTAGCTTCTAGACTCAATTCGGTCGTAAGTGCCAAATTCCGTAACATTTGGACAAAAATTTGACGTTTGGTGCACAATCGGGTAAATCGGGCGAAGTTATATATGGGAGCCAAATCCAAATCTGAACCGATCTCGATAAAATTTAGCAAATGTATTTCTCAGCTGTATTTGGTATATTTCCCCAAATATTGTTGTTACAGAGTGCATATAACGGCTGCGGAGAACAAACATAACAAATCGGATGAACAATATATATGGGAGCTATAGCTATATCTGAACCGATTTCGATAAAATTTGGCATACTTATTATGAGGTTTAATCCGATCGTACGTGCAAAATTCCATACAATTCGGGCTGATATTACACGTTTGGTGCACAATAAAAGGCAAATTGGACGAAGATATATATGGGAGCTATATCTAAATTTTGACCGATTATCTCCAATTTCAATAGGGTTCGTCCTTGGGTTAAACAAATGATCTTTGCAAAATTTCATCTGGATCGGGCAATAAATGCGACCTGTACTTTGTTTACAAAAATACATGGACAGACGGACAGACGGACGGACATGCATAAATCGACTCAGAATGTGATTCTATGCAGATCATCAAAAGGAACTATGGGTCTATCTCATTTCCTTTTGCCTGTTACAAACAAATGCACAAAGACATAATACCCTGACCACCTTGTGGTGTAGGGTATAAAAATCCACACAAGGAGTTCATTGTGAGTACTTTGCACGCAGACATAGATTTGTCTTTATAGGTCCACAATATCGTATATCCCCACATATCGGCACCTTCTTATATTAGATATTTTAAAGATTTTAAAAGAATATTTAATGGATTTTATTTTTTTTGAAAATTTTCAAATTCGTTCCAAATGGTGGAGGGTATTCAAAGTTCGGCCCGGCCGAACTTACTGCTTTTTTACTTGTTTAAGTTATTGTGTAGCTCTGTCCTAAAGCTCTTTAAATTATAAGGCGAATCTTTTAGTTATTTAAGGTATGCTTTTATTCAAATTCTTGCAAATATATTTTTTATTCATTTTTTTTTGTTTGGTTTTTTGGCCCTGTTACTTTTTTTCAACGTGTCTTTGAATTTTGTAGCTCCCAACCATTATTGCCATTCATCATTAATCAATGGTAATGTCCCTTGCCAGCAGCATTTGCTCCACCAATCTTATGAACTGTGGCCTCAAAGCCGCTCTTCTTATCAGAGGTGTAGGTGACAAGGCGAGTTGTGCCATCTGATTCCTTGAGAGAATAGCTTCCTAAAATTTTGAAAAAAATATATAAATCATGATATTGGTAGCGATTAGAAAATATTGCTAAGATGTCAGTTTCATTTTGAAAAAATTTGCTCACTTTAATAGAGAGTAACATGAATTGAAGCCAATGGGGGAATACTCCAGCCATCAAATATATACATACAATATTTAATACAATAACAAAAGCAAATATTACTTAAACATACCCTTAACATTATCGCCATCTCTGGATTCCTGATGCTCCTTCACATCGCCAGTTTTTGAATCCTCTACACCGTATGCAAAGTCGTATCTAGGATGGGAGTTATAGTCATCACCATGGCCATGATCATGACCTCCATAGTGATCGTTTTTAGCACCGCCATATCCTTTCTGTCCACCATGCTGACCGCCAGCTGCATCTTCGTGTTTGGTTACAACTGCATAACTGGTAGTCTGGCCACTACCTCCTTTGCCAGAGCCAGATCCGTTGGAATGTTGTTTGTGCGGCAGAGGTCCTGCAATGCCCAGGGTGACGCAAATAGCCAAAATTGCAAATACAGTTATTGTGAAACGCATTGTGTGATTTGCTGTATGAATAGCTGTAAAGGGTTCGAAGGTCAATGGGTAACTGATGATGGTTTGAAAATTCGTTGGTGAATTTATATTCTCTTCGATATGTAGTTTGGCAATGTTAATTGCAAAATACATTATTCCGAAATTTAAGTGGGTAATTTTTTTCTAATAATTAAATACGGAGGAAACAAGGTCACTTTCAAATTCCTGTTGAACTGTTAGTTATTTTAGTTTTGGTATTTTACGCTAATTCAAATTTTGAAAAATAATCTATGTATATTACTTAAACAAAGAAATATAATTTGAGTTACCAATTGTAAAAAGAAACCCAGTAAGGAAAGGTCAGAAGTCGGACAGGGCCGACTATATGACGACCCTACACCACTATGCAATTTAATATAGCTCTCGTAAAAAAAATGTTTATATAGGGAATTTATGTGAAGTAGTTCATACCAACAGTGAACCAAATACAATTGCTGTATAGCGCTTGACATGACTTCGATAAGGATTAGATAATCCGAACCGAGTTTTACCAAATGGTAAAATTGGGTTGAGTATGAAAAAATCTATTCAATTTGGGCTGATATTACATATATTGTGAGTAAAAACCGTAAAATCGGAGGTATATAAAAATCTGAAATGTTCTCGAAGAAAATTAATTGGGCAGATGTATTTTGAAGCTGTATCTGATGTCCGGAATCAAATATCATTGTTGTAGATTGCATATTACGCATGTGAGAGACTTAAAATCCCAAATCGGATGAAATAAATACAGGGTGAGATGAAAAAACTGCAACCAACTTCAGACTACTGTCATTTCTAAGCCACTCGTCCGACAGCTGTTAAAATTATTCCAGTGACAGCTCAATGTATTGTTTACAATCGTACAAAAGCATTTTGGTGAGAATTTCCCAGAAAAAAATATTCGTGATGGAATTCAAGCGTGATAGTGTTATTTCGTTATATTTGGCTTGAAAACCACAATTGGCTATTTTTAGAGCACTCCAGCATTTAAATGTGAACAAATCTTTGGTGTCCCGTGCCATCGCTCGTTACCGTGATACCGGTAGCGTAGCCCAATGTCAAGGAAGTGGAGGGAAGAAACCAGCAACATCAGCAGAAATGGTTCGAAAAGTAATGAAGCGACTTGATTGAAACCCGCGTCGCAGTGGCCGAATGGCTCGTGAGCTGAACATATCGCAATATTCCATGCAATAAATATTGAAAAATGAGCTCGGGGTAAAGCCATTGAAATTCCAATAGGCTCAATAGAGCTAAGGAGTTGCTTCGCTTGACCGAAAGTGGTGAACTGCCGTATTTGGTTTTCTCCGATGAGAAAACATTCGTTGACCAGCAGTTTGTAAACAAACAAAATGATCGTGTTTACTTGCCAAAGAGGTCAGCTGAAAATGTCTATCTTCGATTGGCTACCAGAACTCAAGCTCCGGCCATGGTGATGGAAATTCCAACAGGACTCAGCACCATCGCACACAGCACGCGCCACCCAAGAATGATTACAAAATGACGTTCCTCGCTTCACATCCAGCGCTTTATGACACCAAAATCTCCGGATACCAATCCGTTGGATTATTGTGTCTGGAGTATTTTGGAAAGCATGGTTGGCACTAAACAATACCAAATTGTCGATCACATCAAGCAGGCGCTTCGTCGGGAATGAGCCAAAATACCGCAGAACATCATTCGGGCAGAGTGTGACAGTCTCAACGGCCGTTCGATGACCATAATTCGTGCCAACCTTTATGTACTTGCTTCTAGATTTCATTCGGTCGGATATGCTAAAATTCAGTTAATTTGAACTGATATTGGCCATTTTGTGCACAGTTAACCCGAATAAAAACAAGTTAAAAAGCAGTAAGTTCGGCCGGTCCGAACTTTGAATACCCTCCACCATTTTGAACGAATTTGGAAATTGTCAAAAAATATAATCTGTTAAAAATTCTGTTAAACTCTTAAAAATATTGGGGTCTACATGGGCATTGTTTGTCATGAGCCTATATCATATTCAAATTCGAAACTTAAAATAAATGATGAATAATGTAGCTAAAATCATTAAAATACCGTTTATAGGGAGGTACCGTTATATTGGAGCTATACGAAGACCTGGACCAGCTTAGACAATTTTCTGTCATAGGCTGTAGCATCCATTACGAAGTTCAAATACGACATCTCAAACAATTTCGGTGGGTATTGTACTTAAACTCGTCAAAATACAGAATTTAGGGAGGTACTGATATATGGGGCCTAAACGAAGACTTGGACCTGCATAGACAATTTTCTTTCACAGAATGTAAATCCCATTACAAATTCTAAAAACGTAATTTGAAACAATTCCGGTGAACAATGTCGCTAAAATCATCAAAATACCGAATATCGGGAGGTACCGTTATATGGAGGCTATATGAAGACGTGACCTGAATAGACAATTTTCTGTCATAGGCTGTAGCATCCATCACGAACTTCAAATACCAAATTTGAAACAATTCCGGTGAATAATGTCGCTAAAATCATAAAAATACCGAATATGGGGAGCTAACGTTATATAGGGGATATACGAAGAAGTGGATCTGCACAGTAAATTTTCTGTCTTAGGCTGTAATATATCTTTGGAACTTCAAATATTAAATTTGAAACAATTCCGGTGAATAATGTCGCTAAAATCATCAAAATACCGAATATCGGGAGGTACCGTTATATGGGGGCTGTATGAAGACGTGGACCTGCACAGACAATTTTCTGTATTAGGCTGTAGTATCCATTTCGAACTTCAAATACCAAATTTGAAACAATTCCGGTGAATAATGTCGCTAACATCATCAAAATACCGAATATGGGGAGGTACCGTTATATGGGGGCTATACGAAGACGTGGACCTACATGGCCCATTTACGAACTTAACCTGCCTACTGAAAAAATAAATATGTGTGCAAAATTTTAGCCTTCTATGTCTATTCGTTCGAAAGATTACAACAGACAGACGAATAGACAGACAGACAGACGGACATCGCTAAATCTACTTAGAATTTTACGCTGATCAAGAATATATATACTTTGTTGGGTCTGTCATGAGTATTTCGAGCAGTTACAAACGGAAAGACAAAGTTATTATACACTCCATAGTATGGTGGAGGGTATAAAAACAGTAAATATAAACCGATTATCATCAAATACAATATGGTTCGTCCTTGGGACAAACGGATATGGTTTGGAAAATTTCATCTCAATAATAATAAATGCGACCTGTATTTTGTTCACAAATATACGGACTGACATGCATAAATCGACTCAGAAAGTGATTCTTTGAAGATCCTCAAAAGTAACTATGGTTCTATCTCGCTTCCTTCTCCATGTTACAAACAAATGCACAGAGACATAATACCCTTACCACAATGTGGTGTATGGTATAATGAAACAATGATATAACACATTCACTCTTATTAAGGATCATTGTTTTTAAAACATATTTTTGCATTTTTAGATTATTAGAGTGCAATCCATAAGAATAGCTTTAATTTTAGCTACCCTTTTCTATTTGGCAGTTATGAGCTTTCTAATTTTATCACTGACCTTGAATATGTTGCCAATGACCTTGCATTGTTGCAATATATGTAAGCTAAGTGTACGATGTGTGTGTGTTAAAAATCGCAATTACCACAGTGAATAGTTGGAGTATAAAACAACCAACAAAATTACAAGCCAGTATCAGTTTCCTTTTGAACTTTGAAGTTAACTAAGCATCTTGAACCAGTTTGAAAAATCAGCATAATGGCTTCTCCGATGACCGTGTTTGCTTTTTTGGCCATTTGCATTGCCTTAACTGTGGCTGGACCTCTTCCTAATAAGCAGGGCGGTAGTGGTCATGGACAGGCCACTAGCTATGCTGTTGTAACCCAACACAATGATAAGGGAAGTGGTTCGGCAAAATCCGATGGCGGCTATAGCCATGGAGGCGATCATTACGGTAAATCTGATGGCCATTCTGGACATGGTGATGACCATTCGGCAGATTATTACAGCTATCCTAAATATGATTTCGCCTATGGCGTTGAGGACTCGAAAACCGGTGACATTAAGGAACAGCAAGAGTCCCGAGATGGCGATAAAGTGCAAGGTAGGATTAGATAACTGGTTTCTTAATTCTATATTAATTTGGAAATTTTATTTTTTGATTATAGGAAGCTATTCTCTCAAAGAATCCGATGGAACAACTCGTCTGGTGACATATACTTCCGATAAGAAGAGCGGTTTCGAGGCTACGGTCCATAAAATTGGTCAAGCCAATGCTGGAATTGAATACAAGTATGGTCACTAAACATTAAAAAATAATACTAAATATTGCCGGCTATTTTAAAGAAATGATAAATGATTGAAGATGAAGAAATGTAAATTATGTCAAACAAATAAATAAACTAAAAATATTCATTTATACGAAAATATATGTGTTACGGCATTCAAACAAACAATTGCAAAAAATTCTCAGTTGGTTATGACCGGACCAAAATTTTGGTAACCTACACCATTTGGAAAAACTTCAGTTGAAACCAGTAAGGAAAAGCCAAAAGTCGGCCGGGGCCGACTATATCATACCATAACTACTATGCGTACATGGTAGATCTCCCGTAAAAAAAAAAAAAACTATGACACAATTTGGGGACTATATCCAACTCTGAAAATATTCAAAAAAAAAAAAAAAAATAAATAAATAAAAAAATAAAACCCATTGAAAATTCTGTTAAAATCTTTAAAATACCTAATATCGGAAGGTGCCGATATATGGGGGGATATACGCTATTGTGGACCTATATAGACAAATCTATGTCTGGGGAAATGTGGCTAAAATCATCAAAACCCCGAATATAGGGGGTACCGTTATAGGGGGGATATACGATATCGTGGACCTATACAGACAACTCTCTTTCAGAGAGTAAAGTACTCACAAAGAACTCCTTGTGTGGATTATCAGACAATTCCGTTGAAAAATGTGGGTAAAATCATCAAAATACCGAATATAGGGGAGTACTGTTATATGGGGGATATACGATATTGTGGACCTATATAGACAATTCCGTTTCAGGGGTAAAGTGCTCACAAAGAACTCCGTGTGTGGATTTTCAGACAATACGATTGGAAAATGTGGCTAAAATCATCAAAATACCGAATATCGCGGGGTACCGTTAAATTGTGGCTATACGTAATCGTTAACCTATATAGAGAATTCTCTGTCGGGGGGTGAAATGCTCACAAAGAAGCCCTTGTGTACAAAGAATCCCTTGTGACCATTCCGTTGAAACATATGGCTAAAAACATCAAAATACCGAATATCGGGGGTACCGTTATATAAGGGCTACACGATATCGTGGACCTATATACATAATTCTCTGTCGAGGCATAACAATGTGGGTAAAATCATAAAAATAGCGAATATCGGGGGGTACCGTTATGTGGGGGATATACGATATTGTGGACCTATATAGATAATTCTCTGCCGCGGTATAAGGTACCCACAAGGAACTCCTTGTGTGGATTTTCAGACAATTCCGTTGGAAAATGTGGCTATAATCATCAAAATACCGAATATCGGTGGTATCGTTATATGGGGGCTGTACGATATCGTTTACCGATATACCCCATCTTCGAACTTGACCTGCCTGCAGACAAAAGAGAGATCTGTGCAAAATTTCAGCTTCCTATCTTAATTTTATACTGTAGCGTGATTACAACAGACGGACAGACGTCTTAGAATTTTACGCTGATCAAAAATTTATATACTTTGTTGGGTCTAAAATGATTACTTCGATGAGTTACAAACGGAATGACGAACTTAATATACCCTCCATACCTTTTTTGGTGGAGGGTATAAAAATGACAGAGGTATTTCTGGGCTGTATCTGATATATAGTACCAAAGATCAGTGCTGTGAAGTGCATATTGAGCATGAAAAATGTGGCTAAAATCGAGAAAAATATCGAATTCGTAAGGCACCATAATATGGGGAATATAAGAATATGTGAACCATATCCATTGCGAACTCCAAATTCTTAGTTTGAATTAATTCCTGTGGAAAATGTGGCCAAAATAAGAAAAATCCTGAATACTTGGAGGTTTACTTACATAGGGGTTATACGAAGATGTGGACGTACATAAGCAATTTCCTGTCATAAAAGGAAACACCAATCACGAACTTCAAATCATCTCAAATCAGCCGGTATCGTTATATGGGGGTTATACCAAAACATGGACATATAACCCATTTTGAAATATATCTAATATTATGAAGCTAGAGTGATTTTCTCAGACGGCTGGACACGGCTAAATCTACTTAGAATTTTATATTGATCCATATTTTACCTAAACGCCAGAAATTTATAAATACGTTAAAACATTTCAGGGTTAAGGTCAAGTCCCAAAATCTAACTCCATGTGAATTTTCGCGTCCATTGCTTCATAATTGTGGCCTATAGAGCAACTGCAAAATCAGGAAAAGTTTCTGTTTTTGGTCCATTTCAACCCCTAAATATCAAAAACAATAGGCCTAACCCCACCTCCATTTTCAATTTCGTGAGGATCGGTTCATAATTGTGACCTGTAGCTTGATTACAAATTAACATGGACAGACGAACAGACGGACATACATAGCTAGATCGACTCAGCTCGGCGAGCTAGGAAGACCCATATATACTTTCCTATGTGGGAAACCAATATTTCGAGGTGTTACATAATTTTTGGCCCAATCAAACTTATAATACCCACAACACATAGTGTTGTAGGGTATAAAAAGTCAAGCTCATACATTAACCATTTTTTTTTTTTTTTTTTCAAAATAAAAATTTATTCAATTTATTTAACTCGAAATTTTGATGTTCATCTTTTCACATTATGAACCAAAATTCCAACAATATATGTATCGTTTTTAATGACCATGCTTATAATCGGATCCGGCATTGGCTTGACCAATTTTATGAACCGTAGCCTCGAAACCGATATGCAGATTTTAGAAACTGGATGATTAGTAAAAACCAATGGTTAATGGGAAACTGATACTGGAATGTAATCTAGTTGTTTGTTTTATACTCTTACTGTTAAGGGTGGTAATTACATTGGGAAGCAATTGACAGTGCAACAGAGAAAGCCCATTAACAACACATTGAAGGTCAGTTATGCAATTAGAAAGTTTATAAGTACTAAGGAGAAAACTGTAGTTAAAATAAAAGCTATGTTAGTTCACCAGACTCTAATGAAAAACAACTAAAAAACAGTAGGTTTAGCCTTGAATACCATCCACCATTTGGAACGAATTTGAAAATTAAAAAATAAACAAGTAAAAAAGCAGTAAGTTCGGCCGGGCCGAACTTTGAATACCCTCCACCATTTGGAACGAATTAGAAAATTTTCAAAAAAATAAAATCCAATAAAAATTCTTTTAAAATCTTTAAAATATCTAATATAGGAAGGTGCCGATATATGGAGGGATATACGATATTGTGGACCTATAAAGACAAATCTATGTCTGCGTGTAAAGTACTCACAAGGAACTCCGTGTGTGGATTTTCAGACAATACGATTGGAAAATGTGGCTAAAATCATCAAAATACCGAATATCACGGGGTACCGTCATATGGGAGCTATACGTTATCGTTAGCCTATATAGAGAATTCTCTGTCGGTGGGTAAAGTGCTCACAAAGAACCCCTTGTGTACAAAGAACCCCTTGTGACCATTCCGTTGAAAAATATGGCTAAAAACATCAAAATACCGAATATCGGGGGTACCGTTATATAAGGGCTATACAGTATCGTGGATCTATATAGATAATTCTCTGCCGAGGTATAAAGTACCCACAAGGAACTCCTTGTGTGGATTTTCAGACAATTCCGTTGAAAAATGTGGGTAAAATCATCAAAATACCAAATATCGGGGGTACCGTTATATGGGGGCTATACGATATTGTGGACTTATATAGATAATTCTCTGCTGAGGTATAAAGTACCCACAAGGAACTCCTTGTGTGAATTTTCAGACAATTCCGTTGAAAAATGTGGATAAACTCATCAAAATACCGAATATCGGAGGTTACAGTTATATGGGGGATATACGATGTCGTGGACCTATATAGACACTTCATTTTGAGAAGGTAGAATGCCCACAAGGGACTCCTTTTGTGGATTTTCAGACAATTCCGTTGAAAAATGTAGGTAAAATCATCAAAATACCAAATATCGGGGGTACCGTTATATGGGGGCTATACGGTATTGTGGACTTATATAGATAATTCTCTGCCGAGGTATAAAGTACCCACAAGGAACTCCTTGTGTGGATTTTCAGACAATTCCGTTGAAAAATGTGGATAAAATCATCAAAATACCGAATATCGGGGGTAGCGATATAGGGGCCCTTTGATATTGTGGACCTATATAGATAATTCTCTGCCGAGGTATAAAGTACCCACAAGGAACTCCTTGTGTGGATTTTCAGACAATTCCGTTGAAAAATGTGGGTAAAATCATCAAAATACCGAATATCGGGGGGTACCGTTATATGGGGGCTATACGATATTGTGGACCTATATAGATAATTATCTGCCGAGGTATAAAGTACCCACAAGGAACTCCTTGTGTGGATTTTCAGACAATTCCGTTGAAAATGTGGGTAAAATCATCAAAATACCGAATATCGGGGGGTACCGTTATATGGGGGCTATACGATATTGTGGACCTATATAAATAATTCTCTGCCGAGGTATAAAGTACCCACAAGGAACTCCTTGTGTGGATTTTCAGACAATTCCGTTGAAAAATGTGGGTAAAATCATCAAAATACCGAATATCGGGGGTACCGTTACATAGGGGCTATACGATATCGTGAAACTATATGGACAATTCTCTGCCGAGGTATAAAGTACCCACAAGGAACTCCTTGTGTGGATTTTCAGACAATTCCGTTGAAAAATGTGGGTAATATCATCAAAATACCGAATATCGGGGGGTACCGTTATATGGGGGCTATACGATATCGTGGACCGAACTTGACCTGCCTGCAGACAAAAGAGAGATCTGTGCAAAATTTTAGCTTCCTATCTTAATTCGTTTAGACTGTAGCGTGATTACAACAGACGGACGGACAGGCCAAAATCGTCTTAGAATTTTACGCTGATCAAAAATATATATACTTTGTTGGGTCTAAAATGATTATTTCGATGAGTTACAAACGGAATGACGAACTTAATATACCCTCCATACCTTTTTTGGTGGAGGGTATAATAAATAAATAAGTACGTATATATAAAACAAGTTGAAAAACATTAAATTCGGCCGGACCGAACTTTTAATACACTTCACCATTGGGTAAAGAAAAATCTTCTTAAATATTAAATTTGAAACAATTTTGTGGGTAAAAGTGACAAGGATTATCAAAATACCGAATATGGCTGGGTATCGTAATATGTGCGCTATAGAAAAACGTGGACCTAAATATTTCATGTTCTGCCACCGGAGCTAGAAACCATTACGAATTACAAACACCAATATTTATACAAATCCGTGGAAAAATGTGGGAAAAATCATCAATATACCGAATATTGGGAGATACCGTTATAAAGGGGCTATACAAAAACGTGGACCTATACACACATTCTTTCGCCACTGGAACTAGAACCCGTTATGATCAACAAATTCCAATTTTTAGACAAATCCGTGGAAAAATGTGGCAAAAATCATCAAAATACCGAATATTGGGAGGCGGTTATACCAAAACATGGACAGATATATTTAATTTTCAATACCAACCATCCATGACACAATACAAATTGTACTGCAAAATTTTAAAGTTCTACGTCAAATAATGTGGGCTGTATTGTGATTACAACAGACAGACAGACGGACATACTTTATGGAGTCTATGACGAATATTTAGGGATGTTACAAACGGAATGACAAAGTTAATACGCCCACCTTTTCAAGGTGGATGGTACAATAAAATCCGTTAAAAATTCTGTTAGAATCTTAAAAATACCGAATTTAGCGAGTTACCGCTGTATTGGGTTATATACCAAGACTTTGACCTGCATCGTCATAGGCCATTGCAATATTCAAATTTGAAACTTGAAACAACAATGAATAATGTCGTAAAAACATCAAAATAACGAAGATATGAAGGAACCGTTATGTGTGGCCTATACGAAGACCCGGACCAACATCACAATTTTCTGTCACAGACTGTAGTACCTATTAGGGATATCTAATACGAAATTTGAAACAAAATGAGAATCATTAAAATACCGAATATAGGGTGGTATCATTATATGGGGGGTTATACGAAGACGTGGACCTATATAACCCATTTTCAATTCCAAAAGTCTTGCAGACCTAACACATATGCGAATAAAATTTTATCAACCTACTTCAATTCGTTCGGAAGCTAGAGTGATTTCCACAGACAAACAGACAGACAGAAAGAAATGGGTAAATCGACATAGAACTTTATGTTGATCAAGAATATATGTACTTGGTGGGATGACAAACTTAATATACCCTCCATACTAGGAGGGAATCTAAAAAAGTTATTTTATATTTTGTGAATATATTAAATTCTTCGTGACCAATAATAGGTATGCCTGTGTAACAAACAAGCTTAAATTTTCTCTATATCAACTCTAAGGAGTCTTAAAAATATATTCATTTTTTAAAGAAAATCATAGATTATTCTCCAAGTCGGAATAATTAAAATATATGACTTTTCTAGATAAAATCAATAGTAATTTGGCATTGACCTTGTTTCCACAATATTTAGTTATTAGATACAAAATTACCAACACCACATTTCGAATACATATTTTTTCGAATTACACTGCTTATGTACATTGCTGAAAAATATAAATTAGCTGGCAAAAGTGCAATTCAACATCAGTTACTCATTGAACTCTGAACCCGATACAGCTACTGCTACAGCACGGCCACATAATGCGTTTCGCCATAACTTTATTTGCAATTTTTGCTACTTGCGCCGCCTTGACCATTGCAGGACCACTTCCCTATAAGCAACATTTCGATGGATCTGGATCTGGCAGTGGAGGCAGTGGTCATGCTACCAGTTATGCAGTTGTAACCAAACACGAAGATACGGCTGGCGGTGAACATGGTGGACAGAAAGGATATGGCGATGCTAAAAATGATCACTATGGAGGTCATGGTCATGGCCATGTAGATGGTCATGGTGATGACTACAACTCCCATCCCAGATACGAATTCGCCTACGGTGTGGAAGATTCAAAAACTGGTGATGTGAAAGAGCATCAGGAATCTAGGGATGGCGACAATGTTAAGGGTATGTGTGCATAATATTCAGTGCTAATATTGTATTAAATTTTTTCTATTATATTTTTTAACAATTTTAGGAAGCTATTCCCTAAAGGAATCAGATGGCACAACTCGCCTTGTCACCTACACCTCTGACAAGAAGAACGGCTTTGAGGCTACTGTTCATAAAATTGGTCAAGCCAATGGTGCTGGCGGAAAAGCTGAACATAGTGGTTACTACGATCACTGAAAACTCTTGAAATGTCTGTGTGTTGAATGGAAACTTCGAAATTCATGGTTGAGATTATTTAAAATAAATGTCACACTTTTAACAATGAAGTGTATAATTTATTAAAAGCAAATATAGCAGTATGCGGTAATAAATGAATACTTATGGCACATTTTTGTTGTCTCAAGATAGTCAGGCTTAAACCAATGTTGTTATTATGCCCTACAACACAAGCTGTTGATCCAAAGTCAATTTGAATGGGCCAAAAATTATGTAACACCTCGAAATATTGGTCCTGTCGATATGATTTTATGTACGGATCTTCCTATTTCGCTGAACTGAGACGAACTAGTCATGTGTGTCCGTCCGTATGTCCATGTTAAATTACGTTAGATATCGTAATTATAAGTTAATGCTTATGCTTGTGGTTAGGGTCAGAAGAGAAGCCTTTTGTTTTTAGAGATGATCGCAAAATATTTGGGGTTTTAAATGGGCCAAATACAGAATATTTACCTGATATTGCATTTGCTCTAGAAGTCACAATCATATGCTATTCCACTTGGGATTTAGCACGGGGCTAGAGATTAGGGGTAGGCAGAAGCCTATTAACTTGGATGGTCATCGAATAATTTCTAGTGGCTGAAATAGATGTAAAAAGAGAATATTTCCATTAAACCGCGAATATTTTTAATCTCGGCGAAATCACAAATACACGAAAAGGTCACTTCTGACAGTTACATTGATGCTGATATCTGGCTAAATACCAAAATATATACATTCTATGTATATCAAAGAAAGGGGTGTTAGTAAGACCACTTATAACTCGAGAACGGCTGTGCGGAATTTATTAATTCTCACAAATTCGAAATGGCTTCTGTCCATCAATCTGTTCATTTATTTTGTATAAAAAGTGCAGGTTGTATTTATTCTCTAATGAAATTTTCCACAAATGATTTGTTGATAATCGGTCCGAATTTGGTTATAGCTCCCATGTATATTTTCGTTCGATTTGTATTTTATTGTGCGCCATGTTCATCCAAATGGGATGAATTTCAGCACATCCGACCGAATTTCGCATAGAAGTAAGGTCTTCAAAATTTGGGTAAAAATTCGGTTCGGATACAACTAAGGGTCCCAACATATGAATGATCCTATTTGCTGTTTAGGTCCGCCAATTTGGTAATATGTACTCCACAACAATGATATTTGGTAACAGGTACCAGATTCCTCCGATATTTTATTATCCTCCACCATATTATGAAGGCATATTAAGTTTGTCATTACATTCGTAACACCTCGAAATATACATTTTAGACCCCACAAAGTATATACATTCTTGATCTGCATAAAATTCTATGCGTATTTAGCAGTGCCGGTCCGACTGTCTGTATATCTGCTTGTGGAAATCACTCTAGCTCCTAAACGAAATGAAGTGGGTTGATAATTTTACTCAAGTGTATATAATGTCTGCAGGACTTTTGGTATTGAAAATGGGCCATGTAGGTCCACTTTTTGGTATAGCCCCTATATAATGGTACTTCCCGATATTAAATATTTTGATGATTGTAGCGACATTATTCAAAGGACTTGTTTCAAATTCCGTGTTTGAAGTTCGTAATGGATGCTACAGCCTATGACAGGAGATTGTCTATGCAGGTCCACGTCTTCGTATAGCCCCCATATAACGGTACCTCCCAATATTCGGTATTTTGATGAACGGTACCTCCCAATATTCGGTATTTCGCCGGAATTGTTTCAAATTTGGTATTTGAATTTCGTAATGGATGCTACAGCCTATGATAGGAGATTGTCTATACAGTTCCACGTCTTCGTATAGCCCCCATAAAACGGTACCTCCATATATTCGGTATTTTGATGAATTTAGACCCTAATATAACATCTACATTCGGTATTTTTAGATTTTAACAAAATTTGTAACCGATTTAATTGCTTTTGAGAATTGCCAAAATCGTTCCAAATGGTGGAGGGTATTCGGCCGGGCCGAGATTTCAGCATTTTTAATTGTTTAAAATTGTAGGTCGGAAATCTGACCAGTCAGTATTCCTACCACAATTCTTAAATCAGACCTACTAAGTGATAGAAGGGATAATTTTCTTCCCCTCGAGATTACCGGTCAGATAACATCAGAACCCTGCAACTGGTTTCCAAGTTCCATCTGTTTCCAGCTTCTATGATGGCAGATTTTTTGAAGCAGTTGACATATAGTCTTTTGGCAATATAACAGTCGCATCAATCGACTATAATCCGCCTTGAGCTAATTCATCAGCCACTTCATTCATATTGTCATGTCTTGGAACTCAATAAACCTTAATGAGTTCACTTATTCCATAAAGGAACTTGTAGAAGTCAAGTTCCAACTAGAAAAAAGTGAGCCCTATTAATCAAGTGTAGCAGAATATGTACCTATTTTAGAATATAGCTCCCATCCGTTTTCAATAGCTCTAAATAGTGTAACACTTAATACTGGCCATAAGAAGGTAAGAACTGCGAAAAAATCATGGCGGTGTAGGATTTTATATAGCCTCTCCCTATATATTTTGCAAGTTTAAATTTAGCTTTGCTATTACCCCATATGGCTGTAAATAGATATTTTGTAAACATATCTTGGCAAAAACTGCTGAATACGAGTTAAGATTTTTAGGTTGTATATAGTTAATGCACAAAATTTATTTATAATATACAGTTTAAAAATTATTAATTAAATTTAAAAATTCGATTAAGTTTAGTAGGACTTTCGATATTGCGTTGCCTTATTAACTATTTTTAGAGCGATTGATTTCATTTATTAGTTACCATGCTTGCCAATTTTTGCTTCCCTTCTACATGACCGATTTTGTGAACAGTAGCCTCAAAACCGCTCTTCTTGTCCGAAGAGTATTTCACCAGCCGAGTTGTTCCATCAGATTCCTTGAGAGAATAACTGCCTGGAAATGTGAAAGTAAATATTTATTTATAACAAGTAAAAAAGTAGTAAGTTCGGCCGGGCAAAACTTTGAATACCCTCCACCATTTGGGACGAATTAGAAAATTTTCAAAAAATAAAATCCATTAAAATTCTGTTAAAATCTTTGAAATACCCAATATCGGAAGGTTCCGATATATGGGGGGATATAAGATATTGTGGACCTATATAGACAAATCTATGTCTGGGGGCAAAGTTCTCACAACTAACTTCTTGTGTAGGATTTCAGAAAATTCCGTTGAAAAATTGTCAAAATACCGAATATCGGGGGTACCGTTATATGGAGGCTATACGATATCGTAGACCTATATAGATACTTATCTTCCAGGGGATAAAGTACTTAGAAGGAACTCCTGGAGTGGATTTTCAGGCAATACCATGGGAAAATGTGGCTAAAAGCATCAAAATACCGAATATCGGGGGGAGATATACGATATCATATGGGAGATATACGATATCGTAGACCTCTATAGAAAATTCTCTTTCAGGGTATAAAGTACTCACAACGAACACGTCGTGTGGGTTTTTAGACAATTCCGTTGAAAAATGTGGCTAAAATCATCAACATACCGAATAACGGGGGGTACCGTTATATGAGGGATATACGATATCGTGGACCTATATAGACAATTCTCTTTCAGGGTGTAAAGTACTCACAAGGGACTCCTTGTGTGGAATTTAACACAATTTCATTAAAATATGTGGCTAAAATCATCAAAATACCTAATATCGGGTTGTACCGTTATATGGGGGTTATACGGAGTCGTGGACCTATGAAGACAATTTTCTTTCAGGGGGTAAAGTGCTCACAAGGGACTCCTTCTGTGGATTTTCAGACAATTCCATTGAAAAATTTTGCTAAAATCATCAAAATACCGAATATCGGAGGGTACCGTTATATGGGGGCTATACGATATCGTGGACCGATATAGCCCATCTTCGAACATGATCTGCCTGGGGACAAAAGAGAGATTTGTGCAAAATTTAGGCTTCCTATCTTAATTCGTTTTGACTGTAGCGTGATTACAACAGACGAACAGACGTACGGATAGGGCTAAATCTTAGCCTTAGAATTTTACACTGACCAAGAATACATATACTTTGATGGGTCTAAAATGAATATTTCGAAGAGTTACAAACGGAATGACGAACTTAATATACCCTCCATACTATGTATGGTGGAGGGTATGAAAATATAATCCTAATGCAGGCAAATTAAAGACATTACCTTTCACGTTATCGCCATCTCTGGATTCCCATTGCTCCTTAATGTCGCCGGTTTTTGCATCCTTGACACCATATTCAAATTCATATTTAGGATGTCGATTATGACCCCATTGATTATGGCCCTGACTCTCAGTATGAAAACCATATCCGTTGTTTTCGGTCTGATGATCTTCATATTTGCCTTCATGCTTCTTTACAACAACAAAACTAGTAGCCTTTCCATGGGTTTCCTCGTGTTTTTTATGTTCATGAGTTTTTATATGATGCCCCTTTCCATGACTCTCTTCTTTATGATTGTGTTGAAATTTATGAGCATCACCATGATTTACATGGTGCTCTGTCAGTTTTCCATGCTTCTCGGTTACATGGCTCTCTTCGTGTTGCTCATGGATTTTCCCGTTATAAGTATGACCATATTGATGTTTGCTTTCGTCGTGATTTTCGTTATGGACATCGTGCTTACCTTCGTATTTGGTTACTGAGACGAAACTTGTAGCCTTCCCCTGATGCTTCTGATGTTTGTTACTTTCGTGTTGCTCTCGTTGGCTGTGTCCATTTCCTTCGTTTTTGGTCTCATGTTTGGTTATGGCAACAAAACTAGAGGCCTTCCCATGGTGCTCATGATTTTTGGCATATTTCTTCTGACTTATCACATGATAAGCATGCCCATGTTGATGATCTTTGTTGACATGATCATCAAGCATACCTTCGTGTTTGCTTACTGAGACGAAACTGGTGGCCTTTCCATGATGTTCTTTGTGCTTGCTGTATCCTTCGTGCTTTTCATGATCGTGTCCATGTTTATATTGGTGTTTCGTTGCTACAGCAAAACTGGAAGTTTTTCCATGCTCTCCGTGTCCATTATTATCCTTGTGCTCCTTGTGACTTTCTACATGATTGCCATGCCCATTTTGGTACTCCTTATTGACTTTATCTCCGTTATCATTTTCATGTGTGCCTTCGTGTTTGGTGACAGAGGCGAAACTGGTAGCCTTTCCATGCTGCCCTTGGTGCTGTTTATTTTCGCTAAATTGCTCGTATTTCGTTAGGGATGAAAAACTAGATCCGGATCCTTGTTCCTGGTACTTATGATTACCCTCGTATTTCTTATGACCTTCAATGTGATTATCATGTTCACTATGGTCTTCATCTATTCCTTCGAATTTCGTTACTGAGACAAAACTAATAGCCTTTCCATGATTTTCGTCATGTTCGTGACCGTGACCACCATTCCTGTCTTCGAGTTTGGTCACACCGGCAAAACTGGAAGCTTTGCCATACTCCCCATGTCCGTGATGTTGTTCATATTGCTCTTGACTTTCCACATACCCATATTGATGCTCATTTCGACCATGATCATCGATCTTACCTTCGTGTTTAGCTACTGTGACAAAACTGGTAGCCTTTCCGTTTTTATCCTCTTGTTTGCTATATCCTTGATTCTCATTATGATATTGTTGATGACCATTATTTTTATCTTCGTGTTTGGTTAGAACAGCCAAACTGTAACCGTTTCCATACTCTTCAAGTCCATGATTATTCTTCTGACTTTCTGCATTCAATTCATGATACTTCTCTTTGACCCGATGCTCCTTATGATCTTCCAGTATGCCTTCGTGTTTGGTGACAGAGGCGAAATTGGTAGCCTTTCCATGATGTTCTTTGTGTTTGCTGTATTCTTCGTGTTTTTCATGATCGTGTCCATATTTATATTCGTGTTTCGTTACTACAGCAAACCTGGAAGCTTTTCCATGCTGTTCGTGTCCATGTTTATTCTTGTTCTCCTTATGACTTTCTGCTTGATGACCATGCCCATTTTGGTACTCCTTATTGCCTTTTTGTCCATTACCATTTTCATGTGTGCCTTCGTGTATGGAGACAGAGGCGAAACTGGTAGCCTTTCCATAATGTCCCTGGTGTTTGCTGTATTCTTCGAGCTTCTTATGATCGTGTCCATGTCCATGATTGTATTCATGTTTGGTTGCAACAACAAAGCCCGAAGTTTTTCCTTGCTCTTCGTGTCCATGATTATCCTTGTGCTCCTTATGACTTTCTGCATGATTGCCATGACCATTTTGGTACTCCTTATTGACTTTCTCTCCGTTATCATTTTCATGTGTGCCTTCGTGTATGGAGACAGAGGCAAAACTGGTAGCCTTTCCATGATGTCCCTGGTGTTTGCTGTATTCTTCGAGCTTCTTATGATCGTGTCCATGTCCATGTTTATATTCATGTTTGGTTCCAACAGCAAAACTGGGACCTTTTCCATGTTGTTCGTGTCCATGATTGTATTCGTGTTTCTTGTAACCCCTTGTATGAGAGTCATGTCCAGAATGGCCATCGTTCTTAACTTCGTGTTTAGTTACAGTGGCGAAACTGGTTGCTTTTCCATGATGTTCCTCATGCTTGTTATATATGTGGTGCTCATTATGATCGTGTTCATAGCTATTATGTTTACCTTTATGATTGGTTTCGATCGAAAAACTGGGTCCTTCTGCGTTCTGATCGTGTCCATGAACATACCGATATCCTTTGTGATTATTAAGCTTATCTTCGTATTTGGTTACAGCTGCATCTATATCTTGATTATCAGCATCATGAGCGAATCCATATCCTGCCGTATGGTGATTATGTTTATGTTGGTGGCCATATTGACTACCATTTTTATTTTCATATTTGGTTACGACGGCAAAACTTGTTGCTTTCCCATGTTGTTCGTGTCCATGATTTTTCTTGTATTCGATGCCTGCCATACCTTGATGCCTATTATCGCCATGATGATCCTCATGTTTGGTCACAGTGACAAAACTGGTAGCCTTTTCATGATGTTGCCCTTGATTCTTTTTTCCTTGATACTCAATACCATAGCCGCCGGCATATCCTTCAGCATGGTAGCCATATCCTTGGTGGTGGCCATAATGACCATCTACGTTATCTTCGTGTTTGGTTGTAACAAAAAATTTAGTTTCTTTTCGAAGTGTCTTGCTTCCCTCATTTTCTAAATGGTGCATCTCGCCTTTTGCATGATAATTATGGTCATATCCATGCTTACTCTCACTCTCTTGACCATAATTGTTATCTTTTTGATGCTTGATCTTGGTGATAGTTACAAAACTGGTAGCCTTTTCATTATGTCCCTCGTTTTTGCCATATCCGTGATGACTTTTTGCTTTATAATCATCATAGCCATGATTTTTCTCTCCATTATGTCCATTATGATCATCGTGTTTGCCTTCGTGTTTGGTTATCGCAACATAGCTGGTGGCCTTAACATTATGTCCAAGAGCATAGCCATTATCCTTGTGGGGAAAAGGTACCGCATAAATTACGGAAATTGAAAATAAAGCTATCACCAAACGCATTCTCTCGTTTTTGTTCCGCAATACAAATTATCTATGACGGTCGGTTGGAAACTGATATGGTATTGAATTTTTGTCCGTTTTATATCAAAATCTTTCACCAAACCAGGGAATACCAATTCCGCAATTTTTTTAGTGATCTAAATTTGCAATTAACTATATTTTTATGCAGGCATAAAATAAGTACGCGTAAATGACAAATCATAAGAAATTCTCAAGCTAACGGAAATGTTAAAATATTTTACTTTAGTTTTTTTATATATTTTTCTTTAATCTTAATCTTAAATAACTTCAGTACTAATCATTAAAAAATCAGGTGTGATAACTATCAAGCCATTATGTTTTAGTTTCCCAATCCAACAGATTTTATGGCATTAAATGAATTTCAAAATTATAAAGAACCCATTAAAAATTTGCAATTTCAGTTAATGTTACAAACCATTCTTTAAAGAATTATTTTTGTATTTTTTTTAATTGTTATCAAGATATCTATCACAAACCTGCTCTTATGGGGAGTTTTGGAAAAATCTTGAGTAATTTTAGTAAGCACCCTTTGGCGTGCACCTGCTCAGTTTCAGGCTTTTTCAAATTTATCTGTAGTTTGCATCAAACGGAAGCAATATTAAACTTTTAATGCAAACTTTTTGTTAAACTGAAACGTTTAATAAAAATGGTCGGATCTCACCTTAGCGATTATTTAAAATAATTAAAATGTTTATTTTTTCCCTATTTTTGGCAATGATCTTGGAAAATTGACGAGTTGAAATTATGGTTAAGAGATCATTTGTACGTTAGGCGGGGACGACCATGTGATACCCTACAACACGATAATTTACGATAAAGTTTCGGTAAAAGTGATGAAGAATGAAGGAATTTCTTAAGATATTGGAATACATATTTGGAATTCTCAAACATTTATTCTAAATATTTGATTTCTTATATTCAATTAGTTGGGTTTATAAGTAACTAGCTGAACTTAGTTTTTTCTTTTTATACCCTCCACCATACTATGGAGGGTATATTAACTTTGTCATTCCATCTGTAACGCCTCGAAATACTCAAGTCAGACCCAACAAAGTATATATATTCTTAATCAGCGTAAAATTCTAAGTCGATTTAGCGATGTCTGTCTGTCGCTGTGTCTGTCTGTCCGTCAGTCTGTTGTAATCATTCTATCATTCGAACGAATTGATATAGAAGGCTAAAATTTTGCACACATGTTTATTTTGCCAGTAGGCATGTTAAGTTCGTAAATGGGCCATGTAGGTCCACGTTTTGGTATAGCCCCTACATAACGGTATCTCCCAATATTCGGTATATTGATCATTTTAGCAACATTTTTCACCGAAATTGTTTTAAATTTGGTATTTGAAGTTCAATATAGTTACTGCCAACTAAGACAAAAAATGGGTCATGTAGGTGCCAAGCCCTCATATAACGGTTCCTCTGATATTCTGTCACAAATTCGCAATTTTCTGTCACAAATGTTAGCACGAATTAAGGACTTTAGGTACAAAATTCTAAACAATTCCTGTGAGTAATGTTGGAAAAATCATCAAAATATCGAATATATGATGGTATAGTTATATGAGGTCTACATCAAAACTTATTGACAGTTCTGGGCAAGGGTGTTTCCTAACTAATGGGAACTCATACTGCCAATGTACACAAAATTCGCGTTAAATCTGTGACTAAAACACCCAAATAACTTAAATCTGTCGGTACAGGTATATGGGCACCTGTTTAGTACCAAAAGTCAAAAGGAGAACCGGAAATAGGGTGAGATAAAAAAAACTGCAACAAAGTCTAACGCCATAATTTTTACATTTTTTTTTAATTTTTGGCAAGAATTATGGCCTTCAGACGGCCAACGAAACCCATGTTGCCCGAATGTTGTTCTGCGGTATTTAGGCCCATTCCCGACGAAACGCATGCCTAAGGTGATCGACACTTTGGTAGTTCTTAGTGCCAACCTTTCTTTCCGAAATACTCAAACACAATAGTCCAACTGACTGATAACCGGAGATGTTAGTGGCCAATGTGCGCTGGAAATGAAGCGAGGAACCTCATTTTGCAATCATTCTTGGGTGGCGCGTGCTAAGTGCGATGGTGCTGAGTCCTTAATTTTATTTCACATTTAAATACGATTGTGGTTTTCCAGACAAATATAAAGAAATTACACTAACACGCTTGAATTCCATCACGAATAACTGATAGAGTGCTCCGATATTGTCAATTTTCGCATCTGACCGAGCTATGATAAAAATTGGAATGTTTGCAAATTTTCACATCTTTTCTTTGAAAATGTAGATCTTTTGTGTGGCAGGCACCAGAAGGGTTGCACCGATATTACCCATCTCCGAACTCGATCGATAATAAGTGAAGTATTACGATGTACACGCAAGTCGGATAATTCCTTCGAAAATTATCGTAAGCACCTTATGAAACGGATTCAATCCAAAGAGACCTAGGATTTAAAATCCTTATTTCGATGAGGCACAGAATATGGCTAACCTTAGAACTTTGCAAAATTTTATGAAGATTGGTCCATAATTGAGACCGAGCGTCGCAGTGACCGAAAAATGGCTCGTAATCTGAACATATCGCTATATTCCATTCGACAACTATTGAAAAATGAGCTCGGGGAAAAGCCATTGAAATTCCAAAAAGTGCAAGAACTTTCACCGCAACAGAAAGATAATAGGCTTTGCTTGGCCAAAAGTGGTGAACTGCCGAATTTGGTTTTCTCCGATGAGAAAAAAAAAAAACAAAATGCTCGTGTTTACTTGCCAGAGAGGTCAGCTGAAAATGTGCACCTTCGGTTGGCCACTAGAACTCAAGTGTCGGCCATGGTGTTGATGTGGGCCGCCATAACAGCCAATAGTCGCTCTCAGCCAATAGTCGCTCTCTCTCAAACATTTTTGCCGCAGGCCTTGGACATTCCAACAGGACTCAGCACCATCCCCACCCAAGAATGGTTATAAAATAAAGATTCTCGTTTCATTTTCAGCGCACAATGGCCACCAAAATCTTCGGTTACCAATCCGTTGGACTATTGTGTCTGGAGTATTTTGGAAAGAATGGTTGGCACTAAAAAATACCAAAGTGTCGATCACCTAAAGCAAGCGCTTCGCCGAGAATGTGTCAAAATACCGCAGAGCCACATTCGGGCAGCGTGTGACGGTTTCATTGGACGTGCCAAAGGTGACCAGTTCGAAGAAATCTAAACTTAGTCTAAAATTTGATGCTATTTCATTTTTTTTTGTTTGCTTTCAGTCAATAAAATTAAAAAATTAAAGAAAAAAGGTGTTTGACTTTTTTATCTCACCCTGTATGGCAAAGATGTATCCCTATGTAATGATTAATTACGAACGAAAGCTGTATCTAGGCTATTTCCCTTGGTAATAACTACGCAAACTTCTACTTATATTGTCGATTGATATATCTCTTATTTATTACTACTATCTCATAGATTTATAAATATTACAAGGTTATAAGCAGAATATCGGCATTTACTTCTTTCCTTCTCCATTCGGTAGGCATATTTGGTCTTCTTTAGTGGCTCTTGACCACTATATAACTGCTGGCTTTTCCATGGCCATAATAATCGTCGTGGTTAGCGTAATGTCCGTGGTCATAATGATTTTGCTCCTCGTGAGCATGATTGGCATGACCAATTTTTTCAACGGTAGCCTCAAATCCATTTTTCTTATCTGAAGTATATTTTACAATACGAGTTGTTCCATCGGATTCTTTGAGAGAATAACTTCCTATAAATGCAATAAAAAATTATAATTAAATAAATCATAATACAAAACTCTAGATCATTAAATACTCACCCTTAACCTGATCGCCATCTCTGGTTTCCCACTGATCTTTGACATCACCGGTTTTGGAATCCTCGACGCCATAATTGAATTCATATTTAGGATAACTGTGATAATCATGGCTATCATCGTGATGACCAGTTCCATGACCATGGCCATCACCGTAATGATCACCACCTTTACCATGATGTTGAACGTGGTGACCATGTCCATGATGACCATATCCACTTTCTCCGTTATGGCTTTCATGATGATCTTCATGTTTGGTAACAACAGCATAGCTGGTAGCCTCTCCATGACCATGGCCCGAGTGTTTGTGTGGCGCAGCACCAACAAGGATGCCACAAACAGCTAAAATAGCAACCAAGGACATATAATTACGCATTTTCTTTGCGAATTCGATATTTCTTTGTGGCAATACTGAAGTTCAATGGCTAACTGACGCTTGACTAAGAAATGTTGATTGTTTTATACCTTAGACAGAAATTAACTCGAAGAGGTTGTAAACTAAATTTATATCACCTAATTACTCGAAATACTAATGCGGAGCAAATATAGTTTTGGGGCAAGTATTTAAACAATGCAATTTGGTTTTTACGATTGTTTTGAATGCAAGGTTGGCTGCTTGGTTTAAAATATTTCTGAGTCGGTTATGCTATTCACAGCAGACATTTAAACGAAACTATGGTGCATAAGGCATGACATAGTTGGAATTCTTTAAAAATATTAGAAGAATAGTTTTTTTTGTAAGAACTTCAAATACCAAAATTTGAACCAATTCCTATTAATAAAGTCGCTAAAATCATCAAAATACCGAAAATAAGGAGGTACAATTATATGGGGGATATATCAAAACGTGGATCTACATGGCCCATTTTAAATACCTAATGTCCTGCAGATATTATAATAATTTGAGTAAAATTTTATCAAACTACTTCATATCGTTTGCTAGAGTGATTTCCACAGACGGACAGATGGACGGACATAGCTAGATCGACTCAGCTCGGCGAGATAGGAAGATCTATATATACTTTCCTATGTGGGAAACCAATGTTTCGAGGTGTTACATAATTTTTGGCCCAATCAAACGTATAATACCCCCAACACATAGTGTTGTAGGGTATAAAAATCGAAACCGATAAATTCCATATTCGTATCAGGTTTCTGGTTGAGAGA